CTAGGTATTCCATTTTTTTCAGAGTGACGAAGAATTATATCGCATTTGTTACATGTATTTTATTTGACTTTAGATTGTCGGATTAAAGTCGCCTAAAACAACTAGTCACACAAATGTTGTGAATGCGAAGGTTTTGACAGTTAAGTTTAAGGCAAAAGTTTAATTCTCGGGAGCCTGACCAGGGTTGTTCAGTCGGAAGAGCATCGAACCGAGAGATCCCGGATCACTCTTTTTACTTACATCCGAGCTTGATGAATGAGTACCATACGGTGGGAAGAAAATAGGAGATTATACAATATGCATGCCACTTAGCCGCCGTTGAGATTTTGTCCTTAAAAAATGGCACTCCAGACTGATGGTATGGAAACAGAGATCAGCTACTTGACAATGACTTCATGAAAAAAGGGCGCCCCAACATGAAAGTAACACCGAGAGTCTAACGGCTACAAACTTTCGCTCCATTTTCTTTCCGTCGACAACGGCATTGGTTGAAGAGCATGGGTCATTCCAGAGACGTTCGTTACGTACGGAATGAGATAAGACATGCAAACACATACAACCTGTTGCAACCTGCTACTGATCTCGAAAACAACGTTTACAGATCATCCAATTTCCCACAACCAGGACAAAGTTACTTTTTACAGCAACACGAAATTTTGTGTAAATTGTTCTTGAAACTTTTGTTGGTTCCGTCTGTAGTCATCAAAGTAAATCTTACTGCTAGATAAACTGGTACAAGACATAAACGGGACTTCGATATCCATAATTTATCTGGTGTCTAGATTATCTGACAGATAATCACTTCGCAGTATCTACAGCGCATGTGTCGGCTGGCTGCTCTCCTCCCTTGAGGCTTTTATGTCATCTTCATTTTCCATCGCCGCTTCACCTTTCGGGTCGCGGAGGCAGACACGTCAGAGAGAGCATCCAACGTTCCCGATCCCGTCTAAGACTCTGAGCTTCGACAAAAGACAAAGTCTGGAACAGACTCCCTCCATTAATTTGCAACAGGTTAAACTTGGCCGTCCCCTGGGCCGTCTGACGGTCGGATTTGCAAGGTGTTGCTTAGCCTTCCTTTCTGGATGCATTCGCAACACATGGCCAAGCTGTCGCACCTGTGACTTCTCACTCTGGAGAAGCAAAGGCCGTACATCAAGGCTTTCCGGATATCAGTATTCCGGACAATGTCGAGACGTGTAAGGCCAGCGACTCGTTTAAGAAAGCCCATTTCAGCAGCTTGTACCCGGGTTCGAAGTTCTTCAGTGATGGTCCACGATTCATGACCGAACCGTAGGTAAGCATGGGGATCAAGATCGACTTGAATGTTGAGAGCTTAGTTTTCAGACTGAGCTCTGATTTACTCACAATGGGTCGGGCTAGTTCACGCAGAACGCCACTGGCTACTCCAATTCGCCGGTCGATCTCTTTTTCCAACTTTCCAACAGTAGTAAATATAGTTCCGAGGTACTTCAACTTCTCCACCTGCTACACTGCCTCTCCGTTAATCTGAAGAGAGCAACGGGCAGGAGAACGAGAAAACACTAGGCTTTTCGCTTTA